TGGACGCTGCCGAAGAAATGGAGCGGAGGTTCGCAGCTAGCTTCTTAGAAAATGAGGATTATGGTAGAGAAGGAGACTCGTCCGAACTTGTGAAAGCAAGGGTGGAACTGGCCGCCCTGCAAAACAAATTCGAAAACATGGGATTCGTAGTCGGACCCGTCACGTATGTAGAACAGGTGACATCGAGGACCGCACCATGTGGAGCGATTGTAAACAGCCAGATCCCGGTAATGGCGTCCCCAACCGTAACTCAGCCACCTCCACCGCCACCCACCATCGAGTCACCCGCAAGAACGAATGAGTCTACTGCTATCTTGGAGCTAACTAAAACATTGGTTAGTCTAATCCAAGAAAGCAAGAAGGAACAGCGAGAGCACAACGCTCGATTAGAAGCTATGATGCGGAATATGCGACCCATTGCGGTGCGAGCACCAATGCAGGGAGGCATGGCTGCTGCACAAGTTGCAGCGGGGCCAGCCGGGATAGCGGCAAATGCCTGTTTTACATGTCATCAACCGGGACACTTGGCCCGAGATTGCCCCCATCGTGCTATGCAGCCTCGAACCGGGGTCGCGGCTGCAGCTGCAGCTCGCATAGCTAACGGTCCAGGACGTGTAGGAGCCGTGATGGATGATCAAGGGGGAAGTAATGGAATGATGATTTCCAGTGAAGAAGCAGCCGAGCTTATCCCGTTGGAGCAGTATGTATCACTAGGATACCCGGGGCTGGGAATGATTGGGACTATTCGACAGGAACTCGAGTCCAGAGATGTCGCCGAATGGAGGCCTTCGTCGAGCGAAATGGAGACGGGAGGCCCTACCTTTGTTACAAGGGAAATCGATGTCCTCGAGGTTACCCGAGCACTGGATCATCGAATCCCTCTCCCAATCGGCCACCTACTCTCCATTTTGGAACAGGCGAACGAACGTATGATGCAACATTGCAAAGCGAACCAGAAGCGATTCGCCCTTGCACGCGCAAAAGATCAGAAGGCGAAGGCGCCGACTTCGGAGGAAAAGGCGGACGTCGCCCCTGACCCAATCCGAGTCGGATTGATACAGAAAGATGACCACTTTCTTCGGATCAAGCCGATTCCGTGGAAGTCAGCCGAATGTGATATTGAAGTCTGGGGAGTGCCGTATAGTGCGATCATAGATTCGGGAGCGGTTGTCCTAGCGATATCACTCCGAGTAGTCGAGAGAGCGGGTAGGAAGAATGATTTGATTATGCTAACCGAGAAGGACCAGCTCGTATCGGCTGACGAGGAGAAGATCAAGACAGTAGGGCGAATGACGAATGTCGCGTTCCGATTGGGAAAAGTGCATGCTTTAGGAGATGTGGTGGTGCTGGATGTGAATACGTATGACGTTCTTTTCGAGCTTCCTGCATTGGTGGCGCTGCGTGCTAATTTAGACTTCGAACGCCGATCCGTCATTCTCCGAAATACCGAGGGAAAGTCGTATGTAATACCCATGAGACTAACTCTTCGAACGCCGATTAAGATAGTACCCTGAATTTCTCCGGAAACAAGGGGAGCGCTTCGCATGGTCTCCTGGAGTGCACCTGTGGACGGAGGCCAATCATTGAACGACGCGGGGAGCGACGACGATGACGATCTAGTCGTTACACGGATAGTACGGCAGCGGATTCACTACCCGCCGCCTCGCATTATTGTGCGTACCATGCATCTAACCGCACAGAATGCTCATATGATGATCATGGGAGAACCCCTCGTACAAATTTTGAGGCTGGTTGATTCCTTGGAACCCCCTCGGACCCTGTACGAAGGCGTATCTCCCCTCCTCCTTCGGTATAGTGATAAACGTTCCTTTTGTGATCTCACTGGCTTACCTCGATCCCTGCTTCAACCCGCAAAAGAGGTTCAGTTGTTGCGTTTGGGAGCCGAAGCAGGTTCTTTGGAACCCCCTCAGCGCATCGAGGCAAGATCCAAGGAACTCGGGATCAAAAACTCGCTCAAAAGCGTGCCCTGGCGAGACATCTGCGACGGGAGAACCCCCGAAGATCGTACAACGATCAGGGAGGAGGAAGCACAGATGGTGGCCACTGTGTTTTCTTGGAGATCGGATCACTCTTTTATATCCGCACCGCCTGACACTACTCGGCGTATACACACGAAGCAGGTTAACGTTCGGATTTTGGATCAAATGTATGAATTGCATGTGCCCCAGTATGTACCTGATGAGATCCATCGGCTGATCGCTGATATTTTAAGGGGCGATTAGCATGTCCGATGCCGATATTGGGTTATCTGTGGTCGTTCAGCATGAGATTCAGACCGGGAATCATTCCCCGATCCACTGCAAGCCGTACCGATACTCGTTGAGAGAGCGCAAGACGGCCTTGCAGCGAATCAGGGAATTTGAGGCAAACGGATGGATTGAGCCTGCCACCGGCCCCTGGTCGTTCCCAGTTGTATTGGTTCCTAAAAAGAACGGGTCAGTCCGCATATGCATCGATTATCGAAAGCTAAATGATATCACGATTAAAGATGTATATCCCCTTCCCCGGATTGATGATCTGCTTGATGCGATCGGGTGTGCTAACTACTTCAGCAAGTTCGACATTCGGCATGGGTTTCATCATATCTTGGTGAAGGAAGAAGATCGGCCCAAGACCGCCTTCGTTTTGTTTGAAGGCACGTGGCAGTGGGTTCGGTGCCCGATGGGAATCTGCAATGCGCCTGCCACGTTTCAGAGGGCGATGAACGTGACTTTTCAAAATTTCGTCAATAAGATATGGCTGACTCAGGGGATGATTAACTTCTGCGTTATTGTGTACATGGATGACATTCTGGTGTACTCGGACATGTTTCACGGACACGCGCAGCACATCGAATGGACGTTGGGTGCGTTGAGAGACGCAGGTTTCAAGATTGCGCTGGAATAGAGCGAGTTCTTCCTCCCGGAAATCTCGTTCTTGGGGTATGTGGTGACACGAGGAGGCCTGCGACCGGACTCTCGAAAAGTCGCCGCGGTCAAAGAGGCCCCAGTTCCGACCTCACTGACGCAGGTTCGAGCCTTCTTGGGCCTGGCCTCGTATTACCGGCGGTTCATCAAGGGGTTCGCGGCTATAGCAAGGCCTCTAACAAACCTGCTGCGAAAAGAACAGGCCCTTCATTGGGATGACGAGTGCGGCCAGGCCTTTGGGGCCCTGAAGGATGCTCTCGTCACGGCCCCGATTATGATTCGACCGGACCCCTCTCGGCAGTTTATTCTCATCACCGACTGGCAGCCGGAGGCTATCTCGGCCATTCTGGCACAGAAGGGAAACGATGGGAAGGAGCATGTCATTGAGTACGCTTCCCGGACGGTGCCAGACGAGCGACGAAACGATTATGCGCCACAAGGGGAATGCTATGCGGTAGTGTGAGGTATCCAGCACTTTCATCCGTATTTGTACGGTCAAAAGTTTCTGCTCGTCACCGACCATGAACCTCTGTTGGCTCTGAAAAAGCTAACCAACTACACGAGCATGATCGGACGATGGGCAGTGCGGTTGCAAGAGTATGAATTTGACATTGTTCATCGAAAAACGGAGAGACACGGCAACGCCGACGGACTGGCACGTTTGCACCGACCCGGTAAAGTACCAAAGGCGGAAGAAATCACACCGTGGAAGGACCCGGACATCAATAACGGTCCAAAGTACAGAGAAGTTGTGGTTATTCCACGTGGCAAGAAGCCAGTGAAGGGCAATGGGTGATGGAGGTAATGTCCAGATTCCCTCTCTTTCTTCCCCATCCTCTTCTTTCGCCTCCCTTCCTGACAAATTTTGTTATTTCTGCGAGGCAATCTCTCAAGTCTATTCCGTCCACATGTGTCCTAAAGGGAGGGGATATGTTGAATGGGTAGACTGTCGAAAATGTGTCGCACGTGCTCATGGTGCGTGCTTACAGTATCGGAGTAGTGATAGACCCTGGTTTTGTCCCTTATGTCGCACTGACAAGATTCCGACGGAAGCCCGATTCATCGATGCCACATCGGAAGGCCCCGACAAAATTCAAAAATTCAGAAGAGCGGAAGTCTGGACAGATGTCGCCTTGATAGCCACTGTGGTAGGGAACTCCCTCGAAACCTTTTCTAAGGAGGATCGGAGGAGGGCCAATGAAAGAGCACGGGATTACCGATGGGTGGACGGACGGTTAGAAAAGCGTAAAACAGACGGCAGTGGGTCATGGTTAGTAGTTCCGCACCCGTTTATGCGGTACGACTAGGTACGAACAGCCCACGAGGAGACGGCGGCGCATTTTGCCGTGCGTATTACCAAAGCTGTGATTGACAGAAATCAATGGTACTGGTCCAATATCCGGGACGACGTTAAATTCATCGTCCAACACTGCCAGGTCTGCGCTGCTAACAAGGCCCCAACCCAACCGCCTAGGTCGATAGTCCCAACTGTGGTTGAACGACCGTTTCAGAGGGTTAGTATGGATACTACTGATATAGTGGTGCCCCCCGGACCGAATAGTTGCGACTGTTCAATTCTGCTGGTTTTCGTCGACCACTTTTCTAAGTGGATCGAGGCCTACCCCTGCAAGACACGACAAGCCGCGGAAATCGCGCGGTACGTCAACCGTTTTCTAGGCATGCACCAGGACACCGAAGAGATCCTGACCGACAATGGGGTCGAATTTAGAGGAGAAGTCGAGAGGAACCTGGTCATACACGGCGTCTCCATACGACACACGGCCCCGCACATGTCCCAGTCTAACATATTAGTGGAAAACGCGAATAGGGTGATAAAGACGGCCTTGCCGCGGAATATTGCGGCACGTGACCCCCGACCCTGGCCTGATATTGTCGACCACATCTTGGCGCTCCATCGCGGAACGCCCCACGAATCGATGGGCCTAAGCCCCTTCCAGTTACGGACCAATAGTGTCGCGTGTGTGTCGATATCGAGCCTCCCAGACGAATCGGGACTCAACCGACGCCCCACAAGGGTCACCGCTCGGGACAAAGCCAAAAGACACCTGGAACTTATGGAGCGGTCCTTACCTAGACTGGCCTGGAAGCGACAACGGTCCACCGAATTGGCCCATGGCCAACAGGTCCGGAGTTACGAGGCCCGGAACGGGAATGCGGGTCCCAGGACCCAGTATAAGTTAGGGGACATCGTGCAGGTAAGGAAATGTGCGCGCCAGGGTAAACTAGCGCCACGATTCTTCGGACAGTATCGAGTGATTGAACTCGGACCCAACAGCGTGGACACCGTGCGCCTCGCTCCTGAGGTTTCCGACAAGTAGATCGGCTCACCCGATCATATGCCACGTGTCCTATCTCCGTCTTTTTCCCTCTGTTCCGTCTCCTTCTCCATCAACCTCTCCCGACGACGACTCTATCTCCTCTGCATCTCCTTCTCCTTCTCAATCTCTGTCGGATACGCCGTCACCCTCGCCGTGGCCATGAGCTTTATGGAGGAGAGAGCTCTAAGTGAAGAAGCGCTGGTAGCACGTGGTAATTTGACACTGCGACAGGTGCATCATCCTCGTCTTAGTCCGGACCTTTAGCGGCTTGCGCAATTCTTCTGCACGAAGGGCATCTACGAGGCAGCAGAGATCCAAGTCGACGGGAGGGCTGACGCGATCACATTGGCCGAAGTTGTCAGGTTGCGACAACGAGCATCTGCGGGCGTCGGCCGGATAACGGTGGTGGTTAATTTCAGTGGAGATCTCACGGCGATCCCCCCCTGCCGACACACGAGAATCAAGGCGGCGTTGCTTCTGTGGGTGCACAATCTTCAGAATGAATGGACCCAGCTCTTGGCGCACCAAGGGGACGTGATCACACCAATCCGAGAGATCGAATACAACGGCCTTCGGCTGGATCGGCGTGACCCGCCGACCAATTACCCCCTCTCATCCCCTTCCATCCCCGATGAGCTCCTTCCCGATCTCTACTTTCGAGCTTCCTTCTTCCTTCCCCACTTTTTGGCAGTCTGATCTTCATCCCCGCCTCTCCTTCTGCATAAATCCTCTGGTTGTTCCCCTCCTCGATCCCTCTCAGTGGGACGCGTGGCGCAAAGACTTCATTGAACTCTCACTGTGTTTGGCGGAAGTACGGGTGGCGTGGGCGAGGGACGAGAGAAATTATCCGCGGTCTGAGCGATTGGAGCTCCTTTTGATTCAGGCGTGGCGGACGGAAGTAGAGGGGGACCTTCTCGGTTTTCTATTCGGGGTAGTGCGTCCAGGCTGTCGGAGGCTTCTCACCCAGGAGCTTACGGTCACAATTGCGCAGCTGGCCGACGATCTTGACGTCAGCATTGTCTCCCAGATCGACCCGCGCTTGGTGCCCCACGTCACCTCGCACACGCTGTTGCCGTATCTTCAGTGGTCATCTTGCGTGGAGGGCTTCCCATCGAGAATTCCGCCTTCACGGCTGGATTATTTGGATCCGCGCGACATCATGGATCCCGCTTTCTACAGACCACCATACGAGGACGAATTGGAGGAGATAATCCGCGAGGAGCTCGCGGAAGAAAGTTCGGAGGAAGAGGAGGAGAATCTGAACGAAGACGAAGGGGAGCCGACACAACAGCGAGAAGGAAACGAAGAGGAGCTCCTGCAAACGGAGAGCGAGGAGGAAGCAGAAGAAGAAGACAGCGAGCAAGGGAGCGATGACGACAACGACGAGGAGCACGCCGACGAGGATCCCCAGCTAGAAATTGCGCCGGTTGCTGGTCTTCCGATCAGCAACGATCCAACGCTCGACCCGGAGCCACCTTAGCCAGATGACGCCCATGTGGCCCAGATGGCTGGGCCGTCCGCTCGCCGGCCTCCTTCCCCACCGCGATGCCGACGACGACGCAGCTCCCCCTCCGCCTCTCTCTCCCTCGCAGTCCGTCCCGCGCTTCGAGCACGTTGAGATGAGGCCGATCGGTCTTCGTCCTCGGGCTCTCTCTCTCCGCCCCCATGACTTCCTCACCCGGCGCCAGCTCACCCGCTCTGCCGTCTTCCCCCACAATCCCTTCCCCCGCAACACTTTCTGTCATTACTTCTCCATCCGTCTCTCTGTCACAGTCCATCCCCACTCATCCTCCCGGCATGTTTCCCCTGAGTTCCCTCTCCATGTACTTCTTTTCAGCGTTGGATGGCGTCGTATCAACGCCGTAGAGGTTTATTGCCTCATCACGGGGTTAATCCCCGCATGCGCCGACCGCGATCGCTTTCGCGAGACGCTTCTTAGAACCTTCACCACTCTCTATCCTGACTACCTCGCTTCTCTCCCCACTACTGGCCGCCGATTTCCCCGCTTCCATAGAATCGTCCATCAGCGGAGCCTTCCGGAAACGGACGATGAGTTGGAACGCTTCTTTCCGCCTATCCCGACTCATCCCCCATCAACACCTCCGTCTGCCTATCGTCTTCCTTTTCCTCTTCCCCACGAGTGACGACAACCAGGATACGACTGCCGCGCAGCATGACTTCCACACTCGTTCGCACGGTACGCGGCAAAAAAAAAAAAAAGATCAACCATCCACGGCCAATCAACCAGAGATGAGCGACACGTCAGATAGCAAGCAGGAGCTTGCTTATCTTTGGAACCCCCTGGGCGTCACATATGTGACGAACTAGCTTCTGTAATGCGCGACTTTGGGCGCGAAGTGCTAAGCGGGGTCCCACGTCGACTAGACGGGTTCATGGAAAAATTGCATGTGTGTCCTTGCTTTCTTTGTTGTTTCTTCGTTCTCGCACGAGCCCCTGATGACAGTTGGGGACAATTCGGGAATGCACGGGGAAAAGGGGGTGAAACTTGGTCGGATGGATGTGGAGTGCGCGCCGAGTGCGCGATTAATAAACGTTGATGTCCCTTCTTTTCTTTCGTTTCCCTTCTTTTAATTTTGTTTTGTCGGACTTTTGGGCGCGTAGACATCGCGCGAGAATTTCGGTGTCTCTTTTTGAATTTCCTTTTTGAATTTTCTCTTCGAATCTTGGTCGGAGCCATACGGTCTTCGGAATTTTGATTTTCTTTTCGGACCTTTTCATAATATCGGTAGGCTAGCTAGGAATTTAGGAATTTTGGAATTTCTGTTTTCCTGGGACGCTGCTTTGCGTATTCGCGCGCTCTTTCTTGCTGCTGCGTCAGGACCTTGATTGATTGGCGCCTTAATCCTTTTGCAACTGTAATTTTGGGCGCCCACTTTTGTAACTGTATCTTTATGTTTCTTGCTCCTTGTTCTTCCCGCCTCGTTTCTTCCTCTCTCCCCTCCCTATCTGGGTAGTCGCGTTTGCATGTTCGGATCGATGCATGGAGTTGGGTACGTCCCCCACGCCGCGGCCCGACCATGCAAACGTAAGCACTCCCTTTCCCCCATCTATCTACGTCCTTGTAATTCCGTGTTCTTCGCGCATGCATGCACGCTATAAATTTCGGCTGCGCGATTAACTTGCTCTCTTAACAGTTGCTGGAAGCTCGGGGTTGCGCAATCGAGAGGGTCGGTACACGAGCGAAGTAAGAGGTGAGTAAAGTGGGAGTCGGGCGACCCGACGAGCTGGTGTCGAATGCGCAGGGTTGACTCGGGCCACGACGGACTGTGGGCGCGGAGCGAACCTGACGGGCGCAGGAGGACTAAGCGGGGTGACGGCTTCATGTGTTGGTGTGCGACGACGGACTGTCGGCATCGGAGAGAGAGAGCGAGGAGAGAGAGTTGAGGTTGAAGATGGACATGGATTTGCGCTTTTCTTTTCGGTCCTTTTTATCTGTGTATATAAATTTTGGTGTCGATTACGGGCAACTCGCCCTTGTCTTTGCGGCCATATACTCGTCCTCTTGTTCGATTCGATTCTTTTTTGTATCGATGTTTTCTCCTTTTTCGTTCCTTCTCCGGAATGCTCTTTTGCAAATGATGTATGGATGGTTCGCGCACCTTCGCATTTTTGTTTTTGATCGTTTCCCTTCGAACCCTCGTACATGATGAATGAGAATGGGGATTGCATGTTGGCGTGATCAGTAGAGTGTGTTGGCTTGTCGGATCTTACGGGTAGTCTGGAGCGCACCATCCGACGTGTCATATGGGCACCTGCAAGTGCGATCCGAATGGAGAGCGGTTTATATGTGTCCATACCACTCGGACTCGCCAATCGCGTCTTGGCTAACGCCCGTATTCAGCCCCTCACTGAAGTAGGAGTCGACGTCGACTGGGATCGGGTTACCCATCACGCGTAAGTGCGCGGAAGTGCGGCTTGTTCGCATCTCTCTTACGCACTTATGAGCAGTGATCTTCCCGATTAACTTATCCCCCAAGGCGTGAATGATGAAAAAATGACGAGCTCGCGGAGTTCCGACGTATCTTGGAATTCCGAGGATTACGAGTCATATTTCGGGTACCGGGAAATCTGGGAAGAAGAGCAACTCCGAGTGCGGGGAAATTTGAGAAACCCAGTGTTCCCCTGCCTCACGGAAAACGATAGATTCTGCACTAGGGAATTCCATCTCGCCATACGAAGCGACCCACGGATACCCGACTACCCAAACACGTACAACACGCAGTATTTCATAACCCCCGGCTTTGTCCTTATCGCCACTAATTTCCCGCCATACCACCTCCTCCTCCCCTATCATCAGCTTASAGTAGTACCGTGGAATTCCATAGCGCCTTATTGGCCCTCCACCCCGCGCAGAAGCTGCAGGCAACGTGCCCATACCCGAACCCCCGGAGCCTCGGCACCTAAGCATAGTTCCCACCACCCCACGCCACGTGGCGGACCCCGAAGGCGTGGGCCCCAAGGACTGCCTCGACAGGCTCCCCTGAACTGGCAATCACGCCAGGATCGGACGGCCCCGCACAACCAGCGTGAAAGCCCGCGCCCGTAAATTTTCCCAGTGCTCTATTGCATCTAGGCCCCTGAACCTTGCCACCGGAGATCTCAGTTCCGACCTGGGACTCCACCCCCACTTTCCAAAAATCCTTGGCACACCCCTCTTCGCACTTCCAGGCCGCCATCCCACTCCGATCAGGAAGTCGCGCCGGGCGTGAGGTTGGGGCGTCACAGCGAAGTGAATACTAGTGGGAGGTGCTCCTACCACCTCTACCAGTGCCTCCGTGAGCTATGTGTAGGTAGTATGTATAGGCCCCTAGGAGCTCCTTGCCTCGACCCTGCGGAGGGCCGACCCTAGGCGCCCGTAATCTGTTGCCAACGAATCATACTTAAACCACCAGTACTTGGCCCAGCTATTGATGCCGAGCGGAGATACCCCCTGCGCGCCAAGTTTTGCCCAACCGCCGGGGCACTGTTTCGTTTTCATTTTGGCTGGCGCTTCCAGCCATTGCAGTTCGGTGCCCAGTTTGGTGCCCCGACAGGCGAGTTAACGGGAATCGCCTGCGGCCGATAGCTGGGCCAAGTACTGGCGGTTTAAATGCCGGTGCCTCTCCCTCCTTCCCAACATGACCCCAACATGATGCCCCAACCAATCACGGAACCGTAGGCTGCTGGCTCCCCTTCCAAAAAGGTGGGTTGCGTAATTCAACCGTCCGTTTCGAGATGATCTACGGTTCGCAGTGGTCCCACAGTCCCACGGTCCCACAGGTTGCAGAAAACTAAACTACACGATGCATGTGGGCCCGAGACCACGGGTCCGTGGAGTTGCTTTTCTCTTTACGACCCCCGCGGCGCCACTCCATTTTCGTTTCTTTTACTGATTCTTCGGTGTCAGTGTCAGATCAGATCGCCCCCCAATTCTGACGGATATCCGGAAGGACCCACCTCATTCGCTCCGTGGTACCTTTGTTACGATTATTATTGCATCCATTCCATTTACTCCGCATCCGCATTGCTCAGCTCCCAACCGTGGGCAAGGTCCCAATTGCACGGATTAAGAGAGATTGTGGCCGTTGATCTTTGCAATCTACGGTCAATATCGCTTAATTCGTGTAAGTGGGACCTAGCCCCGTGTTGGTGTAATTGCCTGGACGCCTCTCGACTGGGAAAGAAGCATGTGGTCGGAATTCCATCTCTCTACGTTTCCCGCCTACCGGAGTGCGCCTCCATCTCTCTCTTCTCCCGCCTACCGGGGGCTAGATCGCACTTGCACGAATTAAGAGATACTGACCGTAGATAGCAAAGATCAACGGCCGAAATCTCCTAATTTGCGCAAGTGGGACCTTGCCCCGGCGTGCTGGTGTAGTAGCTCATTCATGGCTGACTGGAGTGCGCCTCCATCTCTCTCGTTTCCCGCCTACCGGCCGAAAGCCTCGTCTTCGGTAACGTGTCTTTCATATCCTCATCCGTAAGTTTGCAAACCCTCCTCCTCCCTCCCCTCCCCTTCCTCCTCTTCCCTCCCCTCCTCTTCCCTCCTCTTCCCTCCCCTCCCCTCCCCTCCCCTCCCCTCCTTGCATCAACGTTGTTCTTGTTCTATTGATAAACAAAGCAAAACTGAGCGCCACTGGGAGGTCCCACGTCCAATTGTCGTGCCCACTGAGACGGGAAAAGACCAGTGGCATCGCTCCAGAGGATCCATGCTCTTCTGGAGGTATTGAAAGGGTTAACAATACTACTGTAGTAATTCCTTTGCGGGTGCTCGGGATCAGACCTGGTCGAGTTTTCAATGGTAAAGAAGATCCAGCAGCAGCAACAGCAGCAGCAGCAGGAGCAGCAGCAGCAGGAGGAGGAGGAGGAGGAGGAGGAGGAGGAGGAGGAGGAGGAGGA